CGCTCTTCCGATCTCCCCAAAACCCCAAAACCCCATGAGTAAGAAATGTTATTATTGTTAGCGATATAATAATTATATAAAATGTCATTACTGTCAAAGTAAGAACTTAGAGCATTATTAACATTTGAATTAGCTCTCTTCGTAGCTCAAAGTTATTTGCTGCAGCTAAAGAGAAAGGTGCTCGTTACATTAGAAGTTTCGATTCTCATTCCCCAATGTTCAGAAACAGACAATTCAATGAAGAACGCAGATCAAGATTATTCTCAGATCGCCCCTTCATCTTCGGTCGTCTCCCCAAGTACCTAATTGCTTGGTGCTTCTCTATGCAATTCTGGGCTGGCTATTATCTTTACCACAAGCATGCTCTTAATACGTAAGTTAAAGTGGCATTAATAATTCAATCAAATCAAGATTAAGGAAATTGAGTTAGTAATCATTTTATACAGATTCTTGCATGATAAAACAAGAAAGGCAAATAGAAGATCACTTCCATTCGTGCAAGCTATGGAGGACATTCGTTTCTGCGCTATTCAAGAGAGAAACTACATGATTCTTAAGTCAATCTGTGATATTGCAGACCCAAGAATGTTCGATCTATTCAGATCCAGATATCATCAAGAAGACCATTTGTAAGTATCAGCAATAATGCAGAACAAAAACTATAATTATTGGGAAATATTTGATTTTAAACTATTTTTTAGCGTGAGTTACTACATCGGTTCAACAATGGGTAAATACTACGATGGCAGATTCGGAGGTAGCAGATTCTGGAACTTCAAAGCATACAAGAGACCAGAAGACGAGAAGGGACTCGTTGGTGGTGGAGAGCAATCCATCTATTGATAAATGCTTGCTTATTGCTTGGATTAGCATTAAGATTATTTAAAAATTAAGTTCTCTATATAAATTTCATTAAATTTATTAACAAATTATAAAAATAAAATGAGTTTAGGATTATCGCCTGCATTCTTGGAGACTTTCTCCTCTTTTAAGAATAAAAAGAATTTCCAGACTTAAATGAATTCTCTCTTCAAGACCACAACTCGCAACAGATTTGAATCTCCTATCTGCAGAACTACTCTAAAAAATATAAAGGATATTTATTCACCAAAGTCAGGATTCAGAGACCATTCAGTAAACTTGTAAAACAGCCTCAATAAATATACCTATCAGACTCCTAAAAATTAAACTTTACCTTTGTCTATGCAGAGCACAGGTGATTATTCAAGCAAGCAATTCGGATAAAACTCAAAGTCTAAGACTGAAAAATTTTTGCAGATTTAGGAGATCGATGAGGACGAGATAGATGAGATGCTTCTTCACTATCAGATGCGCTCCAGTATGTTTGATTTTGAACTGATCAAGTAAATGTCTAATTTTGGCTTGAAAAAATACAAGAACTCTCTTTATAGAGGACAGCTGAACAGTGAAGGCTAAAGGCACGGGAAAGGCGTAATGACTTATTTTGATAATATCAGGGTCTATGAAGGTGACTGGGTTCATGACTTAAGAGAAGGAGAGGGTTACGAAAAATTTAGTAATTTAAATGAATACAAGGGAGGTTATAGAAAGAACAAACCAGAGGGGAAAGGTCATTATGTTTGGAGAAATGGTGATACATATGAAGGCCAATGGTATGATGGTCTAAGATAAGGAATGGGCAAATGGCACAGCCATACTGGAGAAATCTATGAAGGAGAGTGGTTTAAAGGCTAGGCCTCTGGATATGGTGTGATGATCTGGGCTAACGGAGATAGATACGAAGGAGGATGGAGAAACTGTAAAAAGCATGGATAAGGGGAGGATACATATGCTGAAGGCAATCGTTTTATTGGAAAGTATGATGATGGGTTGCCTGATGGATACGGAGAGTACTACTGGAATGATGGCAGCTTCTACAGAGGTAACTTTGAAAAAGGCCACAAACATGGTCAAGGAATTATGTTTAGAAAGTATATGCAGGATAAAAGTGAAAAATGGGTACTATATGAAGGAGAATTCGTTAATGATGCTAGACATGGAATGGGAGAAATTAAATGGTCAAATGGAAATTATTACCTTGGACAGTTTTAGAGTGATGAGAGACATGGCCAAGGAGAAATGAGATGGATTGATGATACTACTTATATAGGTGAGTGGTCCAGAGGTAAGAGACATGGATGGGGAACACTTAAAAAGAAAGATGGACTCATCACTACTGGAGTATTTGTTAGCAATAACTTTATGGGAAAGGAATATGTTATTCCAGAAACTATCGAAGAGAATATCTCTGAATAAAAATCTATGAAAAAATCTATGCTAAAACAGGGTAACCTGTCAGACAGGTAAATCGAAAGAAAAGAGAAAAAGGAGATCAAGATAAAGAAAGTCATGAATAGATCAAACTCTGAAATGAGAAGAAACTAACTTCGCTTAACAGATCACTCCAGTTCATGCGAAAGAAGGTAATGCTGTGCCCATAAAAAGAACGTCACTTCTCCAATCATGAGGACATGGAAGCCTTCAGGCGGTTCCAAATCCAATCTTTTACTTCAAACTTCTTTCACTTGACAATTAGACAATTAGATCGTTAATGTATTGTCATATTAAGGTTAGAAAGAACAACAGAGAATTCGTAGATAATTTTGAAGTAGAGAGAGTGTTTTCGGATATATATACATCTCCTATCTATTGATTGATAGCTAATAAGTATTCTATATCTTAATATATTATATTGATTGCTTAAATTACATCCCCAATCTATCCTTTATCTCACCAAGCGGGGTTTTGGGGTTTTGGGGTTTTGGGG